TTCACATATAAAACATTCTTAATTTGTATGGAAGAGGTATTACCTATAATGCTTATACCTTCAATATGACCTTTTGAGTTATCACCAAAAGTCACCTCTCCTCTATTTTTGGTGTTGAGCTCTCTGAACCGGCTTGTCTCCGATCATGTGTCTTGAGCATACACTATCAAGGTACCATGAGTTTGAGTTTTTTTCTCGTGCCTTGTAGTAATGCTCATTTTCCTACAAACATAGATTAATTTTTGATTTTTGGTACCCAAATTCTTTTTGGTCCATATTCATTAGTTTCCAAAATCCTAGTCCCCTTAGATATCCATTTGTGTAGGATATCCTTATCTTTAGTAGTAATTAGTTCTTTAGGAACCCATATACTTCTAACGATTTTTCCATTAGAGGTTCTTTGGGGACCTCTATGGTTGTAGTTTCTAAAACTTTTTCTAACAAAGTTGGTTTTTGAATTTTCTTCTTTTGAAAACGTTTTGATCCAACTTTATCAAAAGAAGCTTTAAGATCATCAATTTCCTTTTGATGATCATCATTGACTCTTGAAAGTAAATTTTGCAAATCAGTATTTTTCTTTTCAAACTCTTCTAGTTTGATTTGTAAATCTTTGATTATACTGTCAAGATCATTGTTGGTCTTGGATATGAGATTATTTTCATTTTTCAATTTTGAAATATCATTTTTGTATTTTAAAAATAATTTCTCACAATCCTAAGCCAACCCATTATATTCCTCTAATAACTCATCATAAGATAAAACATCTAAATCAAATGAGTTAGATGTTACCTTAGAATCTTTCTCGAATGTCATCAAGCACAAGTTTGCTACTTCTTGTTCCTCTTCATCAGAACCTTCTTCATCACTCCATGTAGCCACATGATCCTTGTGCTTGTTCTTTGATTGACCCTTTTTCTTTAATTGTGGACAATCATATTTGACATGCCCGGACTTTTTGCATTCATAGAAAATGATCGTGTCATTCTCTTTTGGTTCATTTTTGAAGCCTTCATTTCGTTTGAATTTTCTTCCTCGGTTAGGCCTCATAATTTTTCTGAACCATTTGGCAAACAATGCCATTTCCTCGTCATTGTCATCTTCATCTGAATCACTCTCATCTTTTGTGGATTTGAGAGCAACTCCAATGTTTTTCTTCTTCTCTTTCTCCTTTGGTATCTCGTCAATCTTATCGAAGTCCACCTCATCTTCAAGCATCATTTCATGAGTGAGGAGGGAACCGATTAACTCTTCAAGAGTTAAGGACTTTAGGTTCTTAGCCTCGATGATTGTCGTCTTCTTTGATTGCCATGATTTTGGAAGTGAGCAAACTAACTTCCTTACAAGCTTTTCGTTTGGAATGATCTCTCCATATGATTTGAGACCATTGAAAATCGTTGAAAATCTATATGTCATAGCTTTGATATCTTCATTTGGTTTCATCCTGAAATTTTCGTAGCTATGTGTTAGAAGACTAATTTTAGATTCTTTTACCTCGTCCGTGCCTTCATGAGTGACTTGTAGTTTATCCCATATTTCTTTGGCGGTTGTACAAGATGAAACTCTTCCGTATTCATCTGGTCCAAGAGCACAAAATATTATATGAATGACTTAGGAGTTGAGCTGGAACATTTTTGTCTCTTCTTCACTCCACAATCTTGGATGAGTGAGAGACTTGATATATCCGTCTTCTACAACATTTCATGTTCCCATGTCACTTGCTTGAATGAAATACATCATCCTATTCTTCCAATAGGCATAGTTAGCTCCATTGAAGAAAGGAGGCTTGTTGACGAGCATCGAATCGAGACTGGAGTCGAAGTTTGAAGTGGAGGTCATTGATGACTTGATTATCGATGTAACTCTTCCCGAATCGACTCAAGAGGTGATTAAACCTTCAAATGAGTGAGGCTCTGATACTAATTGTTGAGTTAATCGATCGACGAATATGGCCAAGAGGGGGGTTAATTGGTAATTTAAAATTTTGGTGGAAGCATTTGCAGAAAATTGAAAGAAATTGCGTAGCGATTTAGAGTGGTTCGACTTTCTTAACCAAAGTCTATGTCCACTACCTTAGCTATCCACAGTAAGGATTTTCCACAAATTCACTAATTTGTCTTTCTTTTGAGGACAAAGAGTAACCTTACAAATCCCTCAAGAATTATACCCCAAATTATTGAGAACACTTTCTCCCAAAGAGAACAATACAAATTTTGCAAACTTACAAGAAAATCCTCACAAGGCAAGATGTTTGCACAATTCTAGAACAAAGAAAATAACACTCAAAAATGAATACAATTGAGTACAAGTAGTGTTCTTGAAAGCAAAATGAATATTGAATGAAAAATATGCTTGAAATGCTCAAACTTGAGGTTTGATGCTTTCTCTTTGATTCTTCTTGATTCTTGTTGATTGTTGTTTCTTGTTTTTGATCAATGGCTTCTAAGCATGTTTAAATACTCCTTCAATTGATTATGAACGTTGGGGATGATTAGTGGAGTCAATAGAGTCGTTTAAGTGTGAAAACAATTAATAAAATCAGTTGGGAGCGTCAGTGCATCGATGCATACACAAGGTGCATCGGTGCATCAAGTGTTAAATTTAAATATTTTGACCGTTGGAACACTTAGTGCATCGGTGCACTAAGTGTGCATCGATTCATAAAATGCATTCGATGTTTTTAATAAGCCTAAGTGCATCGATGCATGGTGTGTACATCGATGCATAAAATGCAATCGATGTTTTCATTAAAACCTGAGTGCATCAATGCATAAACTGCATTCGATGTTCAATTTATTCATTGGTGCATCGGTGCATTCCTTTGAAAAATTGATTTTAGGCTTGATTTTGGTTCTAAATTTAGTTTTTGTTTCATTTTATTACCCATGTTCAAAATTTAAAGAGAAATTTTGGAAAAAATAAAAGTTTAGGTACTAAAACGGATTAAAATTGATAGTTTATGTACTAAATTCATTACATTTTTAACATTGTGATACTAAAATAAAATAAAAAGTAAACATTAGGTATGGTTATAAAAAAATTAAAAGTGTAGGTACTAAAATGGACAAAAATGATAGTTTAAATACTAAATGCATAACTTACCCTTAAAATATTGTGCTATGGATCTCTGAGCCTAGTTTACTTTGTGTCAAAAAAATATGCAATTTCATGTTAAGATCAATTTTATAAAATTTTAAAAAGATAAAAATAATTTATCAATAAAAAATAAAAAGAAACACTTAAAATTGTCATATGATAATTTAAAACTTTCAAATTATATCACCCTTTGTCAACCTCATTTTGTGTATTGCGCTTTTTATCTTATCTAAAGGTGAGCGATCAATTGAGTCGAGTCAAGTTGAGTAAAAAAATTTCGAGTTATTCGAGTTGATGATTCCTATTTTACAACCGAAATTGACTTAAAATTTTTTCGAATCGGCTTTATAAAATTCAAGTCGAGACAAATCGATTTTTTTGAGTTTCTGTTTAAATTTAATTGTAAATATTTATAATATTATTTAATTCTAATTTAAGTGACTTTCTATAAACATATATATAATAAAAATATATTTCTTCATATTTTTTTCATATGTAATATACATATATTACACAAAGTTGAATGACTCGACTCAAACTTGAAAATTAATCTACTAATTACTAAAAATTTAGAGTTTTTCGAATTGTATTTTACAACTCGATTTGAACTTGACATTTTTTTGAGTCGAGTAGAATTTATGAAATTGTAACCCGAAATCAATTCGAGTCAAGTTTTTTCGAGTCGAATCAAATCGCAAAAATAGGTTTTTAGAGTTGAGCAGAGTTTTGCTCACTCCTAATCCTATCGGTGTAGTCTTGAACCATTCATGGACAAATACAAAAGCTGCAAGATAGAGATGTAATATATAAAGCACAACAGAGTACTTGATAAAATCCTCCAATACTAGCACCAGTTTTGTCTTCAGCACAAACCATACACAACAGAGATCACACACAGACACAAGCAAGATCACAATTTCAAAACAAAATGAAAGCTTATTTTACATATAAACATAGCCAATTTATCTCTGGCCCTCCCGAGGGTTCGGAGAACTTCGAGTCCAGCTGAAGAACACACTTTAAATGAGCAAACCATAAAACTTGGCAAAAGAAAATTCTAACTCCAGTTCGCAATGTCAAACAACCTCTCATCACATGTTACGTGAAGAAATTATGGCAGGTAAAGAGGGGCAATCTGCTCAATTTCTCTAAGAAAGAAATAGGACACGGGATTTTGTTAGAGCGTCTAAAGCTGTTGGGTGCGGAAACAATCAAGCAGTGAAAGCTTACAGTAACAGGAGAAGCCGAAATAGATGAACTCACCTTTAGTATAGTATTTTGAGGCCTTTGATATGATTCAAGGATTCCGCCAAATCTTTGCTGTAAAGTTCAGTATCATGTAAGTCGAGAATCTTCGGTTTTTGAAGGACACTCAAATCTGGCAAGTTCTCAAGCATCTTACAACCTGAGAGGTCAATTTCCTCAAGTCTAGTATGTCCCCTCAGATCCGGCAGATATCGTAAAAATTCACATTTCTTTAGTCTCAGTTTCTGAAGGTTGCCAGCTACAGGAGGCAAATATTGTATCCGAGTTTCTGATAGATCAAGTTCTCTAAGGCTTTCTGCTCCTTCAAAGCAGTTGTACATAATTTCTCTTACGTTAGTTGCACCTGAAAGATAAAGAACCTTGATGCTCGAAACTTGTCTGAGCAAGCGCATTCCGGTCAATGCACTACACCTTTTAACAAGACTAACATCAGGTTTCCAAGAGTCCTAATGATAGGTAATTTCTGAATTTTGGTATGGGAAAAGTTAATCACTTTAAGCTTTTGAAGTGACATGAAGCTCTTTTCTTGGATCTTTTTCAAACTTGTATATTCAAAAAGATCAATTACCTCAAGTTTAGCGAACTTTGGAAGCTGTTCTAAGGAAGAACACTGTCTAAGGGCAAGCCTCTAATGACTCGATTCCAGTTCGAGAAAAGTCCAGGCTCCGAAGTCGGGGAACTTGAAGGAAAAAGTCAGCCGGGAAGTTTATCTTCCAATCTCTTGAACCAGATATCTCAAGAACAGTCAAGGCTCTGAGTTTTCCAACAATATTTACATTCTCCAACAGGTAAGAGCCTCTAAGAATCATGAGCATAAGCAGCTTGTCACTTTAGATATGGAAAGTTCCGCCCGGGATTCGAGCCGGGGAGGAACGATAGCAAGCGGATTGAGGTTCTGCTCATCTCCAAGAAGGTATCATGAACTTCCCCGCATAGACGACTTCCGTCAATCGGTTGCGAGATCATTTTATCCTCCGTATCACCACACAGTGTTCTCATCATGCCTCCATCCTCTGTCCCCGTCAATTTTTCTATTGTCATTTGGGGAAAAAAAGAAGAACAATAAAACATTATTCATCAACAAGGAATGAAAAAAAAGGAGAAATTTAGAAAACAGGATTACCTTCAGCGTCGTCGTCTTCATCGATCTCTTTGGCAAAGCCTCGATTGGGTTCTTCTTGGGTATTTCCTTCAGCTTGTTCATCACCGATCTCTATTTGGGCATTACCTTCACCGGATTCTTCACCGAACGCTGCTTGGGTATTACTCATATCTCACGATCACGGATTCCCTTTTGTAAATAATCAGTATAAATTAGTTTTCGGCGTATTACTGATAAAAGAGGGGGAAAACATTTAAAATCTGTGAAGCTCGCAGTACAATCCTGGAAACAAGGGAAATAAGATCTCTTATGTAAAAAATAAAAAAATTTACAGTGATATCATGAGTTGTTCCTGAATAATCACCTAATCAAATCATTTTCCCCGAAGTCATTTGATCCCAAGGCTAAGGCATATGAAGCCTTGAACATAAAGCATTCATCCTTTAGACGCACAATGAAGTGAGGAAACATAAGAGGACAAGGGGATATTAAACAGGAAAGGGGGAAAAAAGGAAAACCTTGATGCCTTCAATCTTGAAGAATTTGAAGCAGCCTCTTACGTTTTGTGTCCTTCCTTTCTTCTCACAATTCTTTGAGCTTGCTTGAGGTTCAGGTTTTGTTTGTTCCCTTCTTATCTTCTTCGGATTCTCATACCAAATGAGATTAACAAAGTTAAGCCTTCCATTTTTTTTAAAGGCTTAATACAAGAATAAGTACCCTAAAAATTGTTTACAAAAATATTTTAGTGTTTAAAATATTTTCGTTAAAAATATATGTTTAAAGTTTTTTTCGTTATATTTTTAAATGTATATTGTTAAAAAAATCATTAAGTGACATGAGTTACGTTTATATTTTTTAAATATAAAATATTTAAAAAAAATCTAGATGCGACATGTGTCACTTAACGAATTTTTTTAACAGAAATCACCTAAAAGTGTAACGGAAAAAAATTTAGACATTTATTTTTGGTGAAAAATTCTTTAGTCACCAAAAATTAATTTTAAGCATAATGTTGGCACTTAATTTTATATTAATCCTTTTTGAAAAATTAGTCAAGTTTACCTTATATGTATTTAGTAATCTAAATATTATTGTGGCATATTTTCGTTATATAATTATTTTTTTAAAGTTATATATAACGTTATATATTAATTCTATTTCGATCTCTGTGTGAAAAAATAAATAAAATTATTGTTGTGATAATATTTTTATTTAATAATAATGTGACATTATTTTTAGTGATACATCGGTATCATTATTTTTTTTCAATGTTTAATTATAAAATAAATGTCCAAATAATATCGTTTTTTAATCGGTGCATAATTTTTTTTGAATCATCCAAGTGCCTAACGTTATCACTTTAGGTACTCGAGTCGCAACTGCCATTAAATTTCTCCATTAATTGAAATGCGTCATGTTATGATATTTTTGAAATTTTTTATTTTTTAAAAAAAATTAAAAAATATTATATTTATAAAAATTCTTAATTTGTCTTAAATAAAAAAAACCTTCAATCCCTACAAACTCTAAATCCCTAACTCTAACATGTCGACGTCATTCTTGCCGATCACGGTTACCGCTGTCGACGTAGTCCTTACCATCTTCCTAGTCATACACCGTCATACTTGTTGTCGATTGACCGTCGGGATCGCAATTTGCTGCATAGGGTTTGCGGGGTACAAACGTCGATTGGTCGTTGATTAGTTCTATTTTTTGAAAGGCTTAATACAAGAATAAGTACCCTTAAAAAAATGTTTCCAAAAATATTTTAGTGTTTAAATTTTTTTCGTTAAAAATATATGTTTAAAGTTTTTTCCGTTATATTTTTAAGTGTATATCGTTAAAATCGTTAAGTGACATGAGTTACGTTTATATTTTTTAAATATAAAATATTTAAAAAAAGTAGACGCGACATGTGTCACTTAACGAATTTTTTAACGGAAACCACCTAAAAGTGTAACGAGAAAAGTTTAAACACTTATTTTTAGTGAAAAATTCTTTAGCCACCAAAAATTAATTTTAAGTATAATTTTGACACTTACTTTTATATTAATCCTTTTTGAAAAATTAGTCAAGTTTACCGTATATATATTTAGTAATCTAATTATTATTGTGGCATATTTTCGTTATATAATTATTTTTTAAAAGTTATATATAACGTTATATATTAATTCTGTTTCGATCTCTCTGTGTCAAAAAATAAATAAAATTATTGTTGTGATAATATTTTTTGTTTTTATTTAATAATGATATGACATTATTTTTAGTGATACATCGGTATCATTATTATTTTTTCAAGGTTTAATTATAAAATAAATGTCCAAATAACATCATTTTTTCTAAATAGGTGCTTAATTTTTTTTTGAATCATCCAGGTGCCTAACGTTACAAACGTTATCACTTTAGGTACTCGGGTCGCAACTACCATTAAATTTCTCCATTAATTGACGCGCGTCATGTTCTGATATTTTTTAAAAAAAAATATTTTTTTTAAAAAAATAAAAAATATTATATTTATAAAAAAATCTTAGTTTGTCTTAAATTAAAAAAAACCTCCAATCCCTAAAAATTCTAAATCCCTAACTCTAACATGTCGACGTCATTCTTGCCGATCACGGTTACCGCTGTCGATATAGTCCTTACCATCTTCCTAGTCATACACCGTCATACTTGTTGTCGATTGACCGTCGGGGTCGCAATTTGCTGCGTAGGATTTGCGGGGTACAAACGTTGATTGGTCGTTAATTAGTTGCAGTTTCATAGGGTTATCAATCATCGGGGGGAGGTGAGGTCGGATAGAGCTTCGTCGATGACAAAAGGCGGTGGTCGACGTGTGTTTAGATGTTGAAATGAGGGTTTTCAAAGTTTTGAGACTTTCTATTTTTTTTAAATATAATTTTAATTTTTAATTTTAATTAAAAAAATTAAATTACCATAAAGTGACATGTGTCATTTAACGATAGAATTTAACAGTAGTTACGGTCCAAACACCTAAAGTGATAAACGTTTATAACGCTAGACACTTTGATTATTCAAAAAAGTTTGGGTACCTATTTTAGAAAAACGATATAGTTTGAGCACCTTTTTTATAATTAAATCTTTTATAACGACATGTGACCAGAACATAATGTTAAATATGATTTAAAAAATAGTCAAATAACTAAAACATAACAGTGAATAACTAAATACACAATTTACCCTAATATTTAATGATATATAAGATACTTTATTTTTTTCTAAAAGAAATATATATGTATGTTTTAAATTTATTTTATATTTAATGTGATTCTTAAATTGAAAAAAAATTATGATGCCAAAGAAAATGTTTTAAATGTTTGATTAAATAGTTAATTTTAGACTCTAGTTTTAGAACATTTGAATCCTTCAACATTTCATCCTAGGCCCAAAAAATAATTCTAACATTTAATTAAAGAGTCATTGAAACTCTTGTTCTTAAATAGTCATTGAAACCCTTGTTTTTTTTTTTTTTTTGAAATATTTTGACCTAGATATTTAATTTCTAGACATAAAATGATAATTAGATGACCAAAACAAAAACTAATTAGTAGGTGTGTGACAACATAGGTAACTTATCCTTACTTTTTAAATAAATCGAAAATTATTTTTCTTCAAAAATAAATTTTTAAATAATGATTAAACATGTATTAGATAATAATGAAAATACAACTAATATTTAAGAAACGGATCCAGGAACAAGGTTTAAGTCTACTCGAGTACGGACAAGTGCAACATATAAAACACAACAGAGCAGTAGTTGATAAAATCCAACAACTGTTTATTTTGAAAATACACATACACAAGCAAGATGAACTCCAGTTCCCAATGTAGTAAGTTTGAACCACCCTCTCATCAAAAGTTACATGAAGAAATCATGGCTGTCAAGAAGATGAACATGGAATGTTGTTAGTTGCGTGCTGAAACAGTCATTTGGTGAAAGCCATGAGAATCTGAAATGGATGAACTCACCTTTAGTGTAGTATTTGCAGGCCTTTGATTTCACTCAAGGATTTCTTCAATTCTTCGTTGTGAAGTTTAGTATCACGGAGGTTTAGAATCTTCAGTTTTACAAGACCACTCAAACCAAGCAACTCCTCCAGCATCGTACAACCTGAGAGGTCAAGTTCCTCGAGCCTCGTCTGTCCACTCAGATCAGGTACGTTTCTTAACAAATCACATTTCTTTAGTCTCAGTTTCTGAAGGTCTCCAATGGCGGGAGGCAGATATTGTATCCGAGTTTCTGATAGATCAAGCTCTCTGAGGTTTGATGCTCCTTCAAAGCAATCGTACATGATTTCTTTTATGTTTGTTGCACCTGAAAGATCAAGAACCTTGATGCTCTTAACGTTTTTGAGCATGCGCATTCCGGACAACGCAGTACAACCTTGTACCAAGATCCTGCTCAGATTTTCAAGAGTCTTAACGATGGGTAGTTTCTCAATTTGGGTACGGGAAAAGTTGATTACTTTAAGCTTTACAAGCGACCTGAAGCTCTTTTCTTGGATCTTTTTGAAACTTGTGCAATCGGAAAGATCAATTATCTCAAGTTTTTCGAACTTCGCCAGCTTTGGAAGTTCTTCTAAGTTTGAACACCCGCTAAGGATAAGCCTTCGGAGCTCAGTCAATTCAGAGAAGCTATCGGGTAATGATTTGATTCCGGTTCCAGAAAAGTTGATGCTTCGAAGTTTGGAGACGAGATTGAAGAAGTTAGCCGGGAGCTCTATATTGCAATATGGTGAACCAGATATTTCAAGAACACTCAAGGCTGTGAGGTTTTCAACAATATTTACATTCTCCAACAGGTAAGAGCCTCTGAGCATGAGCACAAGCAGCTTCTCCGGGTTCAATATGGAAAGTTCCTCGGGAGATTTGAGCCGGGGAGAAAATATAGCAAGCAGATTGAGGCTCTCCGTTTTCCCAAAGAAAGCCTCATGAACTTCCCTACATAGACGACCTCCATCAATCAGTAATGAGGAGATCATTTTCTCTTTCTTATAACCACACAATGTTCTCATCATGCCATCAGCTGGTGTTATTCCATCAAAAACCCGAGCTGGTGGTATCTCTTCATAATCTTTTCCATCGATACCCTTGAGCACACTAGCCAAACCAGGATCCCCTGTCCCCCAGTATCCACGGCGACAGTACTCGTCCATCTTAATAGTTGCTCCCTCCAGAACAATAATATTGTCCTCCTGCCTTTTCAGTAGATTATACTCCATAAGCTTCATCAACACAGCGTGTCCCTCCACATAAGCCTTATCAATCTGATTGGTGTGCTTGAGACAGCCTTCCATTATCCAGCTAGTGATCAACTCATTGTAGTTAACACCACCATGTTCTCTCAAGAAGTTCCAACTATGCCAGAAGCAGTCGATCATGGAATTGCCGGGCTCCCTATCATATGCATAACGCAAAAGTTGTTCCAGTCCACCAACTGCAGCCTCCATAGCAGGTTTTAAATCCCGAACATTATCCTTTTCAAAGTACTTTAAGGTCCCCGCTAACAAAAGGATTTCTGCAGGCTTCCATCTGTTTTCACGCAATGCCTTAGATACCTCTTTGTACTCGTCCAACAAATAAATTCGGCCATAAGGATCTTTTGTAAACAATTTGCGTGCCGGTTCACCAGAAAGGCGTTGGAGTTTTAGCTTCTTTGCTCCCTCAGCCATATCAGCATCTTCACTTTTCCTCCTTGTGATAAGAACCCTTAATCCGTCGACCTTCTTCCCGTCGACCTTCTCCGTGCTCGATTTCAAACCTAAAATCTTTTCCTTGATGTAACGCTCAATCCCCATGTTATCATTCTGGTCTTTATGCAGCATATCTATCTGACCATCCAAAACCAATAGAACAAACTTTTGAGCCTTTTTGGCCTCTTCAAGCTTATCTGCCATTTTCTCCTGCAGGGCCTTCAGTAGAGTCTCCACAGTAACCGGATTCTTCTCCTTTTTCTCAGTTTCACTAGCATCTTCTTCCCTTTCATCTGCACTAGTGGGGAGACATAGCTGACGGGCAACGGTGTCTACAAAAGACCTCTTATCATGCTTTTTGTCCAGAGATATCCAAATGGGCTCATCGTACTCCTCCTTCAAAGCAACGTTAAATATTTCTTTCGCCATCCACGTTTTTCCGGTTCCAGTTTCGCCAATGAGAATAATTTTTGACTCGCCTTCTTCGCCATTTTCACCGTCTTTGAACCGGTCAAATATCTGCTGTGCACTTCCCTTCGTCAATTCAACTTCTGTCATTTCAAAAATGAAACAAGAAGAGAGAAATAGTAAGGTGGTTGTATGAATTGCATGCTAAAACTGCGTAAATGATACGTTTGTTAGATCATTTACATGCTAAAGCAGTTATATAGCACCTACTATATGTTCTATATGATAAAGTGATAATCTGATGCGTTGATATTAATTTCTATGCTAGAGTGCCTATAAAAAATTTTGTTGCATGAAGTGTCCCATAAGTTGCGTTGATATATGATTAGTATGAAAAAGTAACTAAATAACATGTTTGATATATGAAGTGCATGTTATCATGTCTATATGAAATGTTTGCTAAAAATGCCTAAATGATAAATGTAATAAGTAAAATACATGCTTATATGATACTAATGTTTTATATGAAGTGAATTAATAAAGATTAAAACCCGCGTCATAAATTAGGGTTAACTTGCTTGGTATAAATGACCATGAAGTATAGACTTCAATATGTTTTCCTTTACGTACCATTTTTTTGGTAATATGATATGATTATAAGATAGTATTTGCTCAGAACTTTCTTAATTTATTGACAATGCACAAAAACCCTATAAATACAATTGTTCGAACCTAAAACCTCTACATAAAATAATCTTTCTTTTTTAATTGAAAAAATATGTTTATATTAAAGTAAGGTATAATTTATAACTTAATTTAATATATTAAAGTAATTTTATATGTAATTAATTTGTATTATTTTCATTGGAATTTATTGACTGAAAAAATAAATAAAAATAATAATTAATTAATAAAGAATATATTTATATTTTCATTTAAAATCCAAAAAAAATCAAAATTTTTAAAATATTCTTCATAGAATAAGTGGATTTTTTAACTAACTAAATGGTAAACTTTGTTTCTCGGTTAGATCTAACTATGACAATTTAATCTAAATTTGATGGATTTTAATAGTATAATTTTGTTTTATAAATTTAAAAATAATTATAATAATACATGTTTCCTATTTTTCTTATTCGCTATATTTTATATAATAAAAATGAATTATATATATATATATTGGGCCGGTCAGGTTAGATGTAAACTTTTATCCAAAAAATTTGGATATAGAAAATATACTTCTTAGATCAGATTATGTGAAGAATGTATGCTTCTCGTCGGGTTGGACAAAAACCCGAGCCAAACCCATTTCCATCTCTACTTGGATCAAAAGATTATCGGTTAATTCTACTCAGAAAAAAGAATGATTATTGGTTTATACTGTTTCCCGCATTGACTCTAAAATCTGAAGTCGGGTTTTACTTTCAGAAGAAGAACAAAAAAGGAAAGCAAGATTACCTTCAGCGTCGTCTTCTTTATTGATCTCTGTGGGACTGCCTTGATCATCTTCCTGGGTACTACCTTCAGCTTCTTCATCTTCCTGGGCATTACTAGCTTCACTGGCTTCTTCTCTGATCTCTCCCTGGGTTTGGGTCTCACCTTCGCCAGGTTCTTCACGGATCTCTTCCTGGGTTTGGGTCTCACCTAAATCGAGTTCTTCACGGATCTCTTCTTCGGGTTCTTCACTGTTATCTGGGTTTGAACTGCCTTTATCACTCATCTCTCACAAAACCTTCCATAAAAATCAGTGTACAAATGACAAATTAGTAACTCATATTACTTTATATGAATAATCAGTAAACCTAATAATATCAGTCCCCCTCCCAAAAACAGCATTCATCTTTGTTCTAAGTAATAAATATCGTAGAAAGTAGAAAAAAATCCTTTAGAAGCATAAATGAAGAAAACAAACGGAAATGGAAGCAGCAAAGGAAGGAGATAATAAAAACCCGTATGCTTTGAATCTTGGAGGATTTGAATCGGAACCCAAGTGATAACAGTCTCTGGAATCGATCACTGTCTGTGTTCAGCGCCCTTCCTTTCTTCATACAAGGATTTAGTGCTTTTAATTTTTTATGTTTTCGAAATCGATGCTTGAACTTTGAAAGAATTTTTAATTTGATATTTATATTTGAAAAACAAATCATATCGGTACCCATGTTGTCTAGTCAAAATGAGAACATCGTTAAGAATTATGTTTCACGACCTAATTGATGGATAAGATACCACCCTAGCACCAAGCTTTAAGAATTATATTTACATCTAGGTATTATTTATTCGTCTAAGATGATTAAAAAATAATTATTTATTACAGAAAATTGCAACAGGTAGGGACAAGTCCGTTGTTTGTTTGTTTTCTATTAATTGAAAATTTAAAATTTTGAAGCGGACGTGGAATTATATATATTCAATGTAATTTGGGTTAATTGTGTGAACAATTGAACATATTATATCTTAATCAAATGGGTTGTCGAGAGGCATAACAAAAATAATGTCACATCAAAGGTTAGTTTAGATATAATAAATTAATAATGCATTAAACGCATCACCCAATGCCAATTTATAAAGGATAAAGTATAATTTACCTCTTAAATTATATCTATATTATTAAGTTGTCTTTGAAAAAAATATAACATTTGTTTATCTAACGTTTATTTATATCAATATTTGATTAGGGTATAATTTAAGTGAGTAGTTTATTATGTTAATGATAATAAGAAAAATTATTATGTGTCATAGTTTATTATTGTAATTGTAAACTTTAATTGTTATTTGGATATTTTTTTATTTATAATAAATTAGTGGATTCTATCTTGTCAAAAAAATTATTAATATAATATTTTTTTTAATAATCTTAGATAATTATAAAATAGTATATGTTTAAAATCTTTTTTAATGATTGATAATATTTTCTTTTACTATTGAAGTTAATTAATGAGTTCAATTAAATGTAATTATTTTATTCTTATTTGAAATTAAACTAAAATAAAATAATAAATAAATAATAACAAATATTGGTTAAAATATAAAATTCAAAAATTTCAAATTAATCCTTAAACTTGTTAACATTTCAATTACATCCTCCTAATATGACTCTCATTCTAAATTATTGAAAACCCATGCAAAGTAGAATTGATGACTAAGGAAACGATTATCAGATTAAAATTGAGAAATTTGAAATTATAAGACTAAAATTGGCTAAATAATACTAAAAATACTAAATCTACAGAAAATTAAGAGTACAGGACCACCGCTACAAATGAACCTAATTTCTGTTATATAAAGCAATCGAGTCATTGTTTATTAATTTATCCTACCACATTTTTTTATTAAAACAAATTGACGTGCCATTTTTTCCAATTTACCCTAACAATAAATATTTATTTATATAAAGTAAAGGAGTCATTCTTTATTATTTAAATAATATTTTTTTTATTGTTTGTCACGTGAAGTTGAAAATGAGCTGGCAATTTACATAATGAGAAAATGATAGATTATTCATTTAGAATAACAAAATTAGTTATAATATTAAGTAAACGAATCACTCTTTAATCATGATCAATTTCCCATACGAAGTGACAAGACGAAGACATGTTATTAAAATGAAAATAAAATATATTTTTATAGAGTAATGGTGCCATTCTTTTCAAATTTAACTTAATAAAAACTATTTATTTATATAAAGTAGCCGAGTAATGCTAATTGATTTATAATAAAAGAAGTATTTTTTTTCAATAACAATAAATCTTAAAATAAAATAAATATATTTTTTCAATGAATTCTTATATATTGTAAATTTTAAAAATAAATCTAATTGAATTGGGTGACCAAAACGAAACAAAAAATTTAAGTTTAGTGATGATATTGAAATAAAAAATAGATCATTGGCCAAAATAGAACCTCATAAATAGTTGAGTGACTAAATATGTAATTTACCCGTGTATTTTTTTATCAGAATTAACAAATAAGACAAATGAGGTAATGATTTAAACTTTAAAGAGACAAAATATCTTGAAAAATACTTTAAGGTGTAACTCGGTACAGACGATATAGTTTAGGGGGCAATGGTGAATTTAAGCCTTCTTATGAGTTTAATAATAATTTTATAAAATTTAGTAACCATTTTGTAATTATTTGAAAATTTATTATATTTAATAAAAAATGAATAATTATAAATATTATTTAATTATAATTTAATAACTATTGATGCACTTACTTCGTGTCTTTATCAATAAATGTAGGGTTTTCTCTTCTTTTTCTTTGTTTGTAAGACCAATAATGCAAGGGCATTAACTAGACTTCTACAACCCTCGTTCCACCACCGGGATTGTCTCAGGAAAGGTTGTGAGAAAAATATTTTTTTTATATAAGATATCTATCTTATTATTTTTTAAATTAGAGGTTTTTATTGGTCTGAAGATGTCGTGCATTCTTAGGATCTTCTCAATTTACTTGAAGACGCTCTGCAATAGTAGAATCTTTTTCATTTACCTGAAGACGTCATGCAATCGTGGAGTTTTCATATTTTAGCTTGAAGACGAGTGGAACACCTGACGTCTTTAAATTAATACTGTTCAATTCATCCTAGATGAAAAAATAATCTTCAAAGTAAACTATATTAAAAATTAGAAAAACCCACTTATATTATCTCAAACATTTCTCCCTTTAAAATTATTTCGGCGTAAACTAAATATTTAGTAATACACATTATTTTTTCACTTTTGTTTTAACTATTAAACTATTTATTTTAAAATTATATTTAATATGTTATTTTAATTATTTATCGTTAAAAAATCAACAATGATATTAATATATCATTGTAAGATTGATAATATGATATCATAATTAAAAAATGGAAATATTATATTAATTATTTTAATTATTTTTAATGATAAGGGATTAAAATAAAACAAAAATATTGTATTAAACATAATTTTAAAAAAAAGTAGTTAAAAGAATAAAATAAAACTATTAAAATAGACAGTCTCACTAAATATATAGTTTATCTTAAAATATATAATAAAAAAAAGGAACATGTGCGAGCCGGAGGAAGGCGGGAAGTTGTCTCCTTGATTGACCTGGTTCGCTGCTTAAGTTTGCCTAAAGATTCTTCATTGTTATACCTTTGTTGTTTCCCTTCTTCTTCTGAGGCTTTAGCTTCTATTCTATGGTTGTCCACTCTCACTTCGTCGAGCAAATATCGCCGCCTTTGCCATGCCCTCCGATCCAGATAAAACAACTCTCTCTGTCTCACACATTCAAGATATAATCGACCGCATATCCAAGTTGTGCAAACTTACTGAAGAATATGCAAATAAAGCGGATCCACCTCAGCAAACCACCGTTGACACCAACGCTGCGGCAAATAACCAGACTCAAAACCCGCAAGATGGTTCTACCGGTGGCGAAGGGGACGGTGCTCAGGGGACCAAAAAAACCGAGAGCGACAAGGGGAAGGATGCGAAACGCGATGGTGGATACAAGAAGACGGACGCGCTACACGATCTGGGAAAACTGTTCAAAGAACTCGATTATATGTATCGGTCATTCCAGAAACTGGAGAAGTTCGAGAAGGATCTAAGCGACCCACTCAAAACTCTTGAAGCCAATGTCAACGACATCGTGACTGACCTTAAGAAAGAGAAGTTACCAAAACAGGTTGAGCACAATCTACGAGTGCTGAGAAACAACATCACCAGGGTCAAGATCCTGATCCCGTCTCCGCATCAGGCGGCCGGATTAAGTTCCGAAGGTAATCGGGGTTTGCAGACAACCGTTGCCACCGGAGATACAGGGGACCTGCCTCACTTATACGAGGAAGATCTTTTTAAAGAAAGCTATTATTTCCAAGAAATTAGGGAAAAATATGAAAGCCTTGAAGATGAGAGCCTTGAAGGTAAGAGGCTTAAGCTCAGCTTGTTGTGTTTCGCAATTTTCCCGGAAAATTCGGAGATAAAGAAGAGGTTTCTGAGATTTTGGTGGGTTGGGGAAAATTTAATCCCACCTCAAGAAAACAGGGATGAGAAGGACGTTGTAAATGAAACTCTCAAGATTTACGTGGAGAAGGGACTTATCCAGCCGGTTTTGAAGAAAAACAGATTAGAGCCCAGAAGCTACAAGATGGACCCGATTGTTCGTTCATGCTTGATCAGTTTTGCCAAGGAGGCAGGTTTCTTTCACTATGACCAAGAGGGAAAACCCACCATGGATTTTTCAGCCTGCAACAAGGCATGTATGGTGAGATCTGAAGGAGCCGCTGCTCCCTGGTTCTCTAAGTATCTTAAAGGAAGTGACAATGATGAAGAGGATGGAGAATCAAAAAACCCTAAAGGGCAGCAGGAGCAAGAAAAGCTACCTGAAGATCCAGTAAAGCTGGATGGAGAATCAGAAAACCCTAAAGGGAAGCAGGAGCAAGAAAAGCTACCTGTAGATCTAGTAAAGCTGCAGATGTTGTTCAATTTTCCTAACAGGGAAACATTGATGAGGGCTAGTCGGCAATTTGACAAATTGCAGACGTTGTTCAATTTGAGTAAGCAATTTCCAGGTTTACCTAAAGAGTGGTTTGCCAAGATGACAACCCTCAAAGTTCTTTACATGGGCAAATGGGAAAGCACAGCGGGGCGGCCTCGCCATATCGAAGTCGAAGACATCGACTTCTTAAAAGCGTTGACGAAGATGAAGAATCTAAGGCTTCTTAGTCTTCAAGGTGTTTCAGGTATCCCAACGATTCCCCGCGCTGTTGGGCAGCTTGAAAACTTGAAGATCTTAGATCTTAGAGCATGTCACAACCTGGAGAGATTACCAGATAAGATAGGCTTACTCAAGGAGCTGATTTACTTGGATTTATCTGAGTGCTATCTGCTTGATTACGTGCCCAGAAAACTGAGTGAACTCAAGAAACTTGAAGTGCTTAAAGGTTTTGTGATTGTGGATACCAAAAACTCGTGCACTCTTGACGACTTGTCAAAGTTAGAGGAACTGAGAAAACTAAGCATCAATGTCAACACGACGAACTTCGATATTAATGATGCAAAGGAGTCTCTGGTTAAATTCAAGCAACTTAAAAAACTAAGGATGTCTTGGGGATCAAGGGGAATGCCGAACAGTAGTAACGAACGTCCGCCATCCAAGGCCAAGAAGCAGCAGCCGCCACCCCAGGCCAAGAAGCAGAAACAGCCTCCCCAGGCCAAGGAGCAGAAGCAGCCACCCCAGGCCAAGAAGCAGCCGCCAAGTAGTTCAGCGTCAGACCAAGACAACAGGATGGGACCGTTGGATGTTTTCAGAAATACAGCCAACAAGGTTCTGGCGGACAATGCTAATCGGAAGACCACAAACGAGGAGGATAGCAACAAGCAAAATGGCGGTGTTTTAAAGAAATCAGCCGCCAAGAATTGGTGGGAGGTTGCTACTGCTGCTTTGCGGCAAGCGGGAAATCAACAACAGGATCTTAAAGGCCTTGAGAATCTGGTGAAACTGGACCTCCAATGCTTCCCTTACTCGGCGCCCCCAGAATGGTTGGTACCGTCGAAAATGGTGAACCTGATGAATCTGTCGATTAGAGGTGGGAAACTGAGTTACTTGGAACATGATCCGAAAGGGAAGAAGTGGAAGGTGGAGACTTTACGGTTGAAGTTCTTGGTGGGTTTTAAGATGAACTGGAAAGAGATGCAGGATTGGTTTCCGAGATTGAAATATCTGGAGAATGTTAGAAGCCCCAGGATCACACTCTGCCCCTGCGATCTAAATGGGATCTGGCAAGCTCATTCCAATTAGACTTCTTCATGCCCGCAATCATGGGCATGGCTGCCCTTCATCGAACTTGCAGGTGTTGTGCATTTCTTTCTTTCTTTTTGTTTGCCATAGTGTGTTGCATTTCTTGTTCCTCTGTTTTTAATTTATCTTCAACCATGGGTGATCCTTTCAATCATGTATTTCTTGGCTTTGCTTTCATCACTTGTTGTAATTTAATCATTCAACCATGAACTGTTTTCAGTTCTTTTTACCAAAATTGCAGGATTTACTTGTTCAAATGTTATCAATAACATGAAAATAATTCATTCATATACTTTATTTTTAAAAATAAGATTTCAATATTATATATTTACGCATGCTAAAGTGACCATCACTTTTATATAAAATCAAGCAAAATAAACCTGATTCCGATGAGCGGCCAAAAAAAATCAGATTCCAGATTATCTCAGCTATTTGATGGGGATGCTTTGAAAGTTTCAAACCAAGCTACGTTAAGCTGATGCCCATATCCATACTTTTTTTAGGTTAAAGTACATATATGATCTCTCGATTATAAGATACTATTTTATTAAGTATTTATATTATTAAAAGTTATAAAATGATCGTTCGACTATAGAATATTGTTTTATTAAGTCCATCGACTATTAAAAGTTACAAAATGATCTCAACGACTATTCATTATGTTCTAAAATCATAATTTTTTGTTAAAAAGTTGGTGGTTGCCTAAGCTTGACATTAGTATGATGATTGAAATATAATAGTCGTTTGAGATTTCAATATCATATTTTACCATATCAAAGTTAGCATGTTAACTTTAAATTCGGAATATCATTAATTTTTAACGAAAAATGACGAGTTCGGAACATAATGAATAATCGGTGATTATTTTGTAACTTTTAATAGTCAAAAGACTCAATAAAATAATTAAAGAATTATTTTGTAACTTTTAATAGTCAAAAGACTTGATAAAATAATACCCTATAGTTGAGGGACTATTTGTGGTTTTACCCTATTATTATTATTATTATTATTATTGTTATTAATTTCATAAAGGAATCTGATGTGTATAGATGATTTTGGAATGGAAAATTACAAACCCAACTCATTCAATTGACATAGGACAGTCAGGGTCCACACTCTGGCTTTTATCTTGTCCTTTTCCCCTAATTAATAAGATAATATAATGAATTGAAACCTAAGACACCACCAACCAACGCTTGTTTTATAAATGATCAGCAAAAAAGCCAACAACTTTGGACTTCCCAGGCCCAAAATGAAAGGGGCGAATTCACAATAAACTCCAGGTCCAGGACGACGGGAGCCAGAAAGCATATTTTGGGTAAACTACTGAAATGGTCACTTTAGTTTAATGATTGCTACTTTTACTCATTGAATTTAAAAAGAACAACTTTTTGGTCACTTATATTATCTATATATTATTTTTTTGGTTACCTATATTATCTATGTATAATATTTTGGTTGCTGGAAAATTAAATATTGTTTGTTTGATGATGTGATACACTAATAAAAGTTTTAATTTTTTTGACCTCATGAATCCGATCAAAGTTTCGTAGCACTAGTCCTTCATCGTTGTCACTGATGACTTTTAAACCTCAAAATTTTCCAGTTCTCTCCTGTTTAGCATTCTAAATACGAACACAAATAAAATTATCTCAGTGATAAAGAAATTATTATTGTTCCTTGAGATATCAGGTTTGAACACCAGGAATATCATAGGTGTGAGCGTTAATGTTAAATAATTAAGACATTTAATATTAAATGATTGAGAGTTGTCTTTGACCATATATTATTTTATAATTACCTCAGATTAATAGAAAAACTATGAATCTAATATTTTTTTCATCAAAAAATACTATGAATTTCATAAATCTAACATAAAACTCTTGACCCTTTATAATTAAAACATACTAATAATAAATTTATCGTTATTTTTCTTTTAAAAATAAAGACACTTATTTATAATCAAATTCATAATTTTTTATTGTATCAAAAAAATCATAATTAAATCTGAGGTAACCCCCCTCGATGATAACTTCCAGAAATTCCAAGTCCAGAGCCAGTTGTATAGCATGGTTCACCGCCGCCACCTCCGCCACAAATGCTGAGGTAACCCTTGCAACCTATCTTCTGCATGCGCCTAGAATTTAACCCTGAATATTGCGAATCACAACCTTAACCAGGATTGTTTCTGTGTAAGTACAAACCGAGCGTCGAAGTTCACTTTCAGCATCGGTGCCTCAGGTGGTTTCCAATAACTAGCTTCAGTAGAAAACAGAGTGGCCAGTCGAGCATTAGCAGTGGAGAAATCTTTGCATTGGGTTCGGATCAAACAGGTAAGGTCATCTTTTCTGAAAATCTTACCTTGCTGATACCGAATGTTCCGGGCATACCGTATAGCCCAAATAGTAGTTAAAATCTGGGCATGTCTATTGGCGTGGCTGTTTATAAATACCCAATGCAACCAATCTGTACAGTCCATCGTCGAAGCTTTTAGAGACCATTGAATATGTAAATCCACCCAAACTTGCTGTGCTAGAACACAATCACGAATGATATGTAGTCCTGTTTCAACAGTGTTACCATAACTAACACAAGTAGGATTACTAATGAGTCATTTAATGCTTAGATTCTGTAGCGATGGAACGTAATTATGTATGAATTTCCACAACTGCAGTTTAATTTTCCTTTGACGCACACTAGCCCAAATGTATCGAAATACAGCTATAGCAGTTTGTGAAATACTTGCACACTGTAGCGAAAGCCTGTAAGCGCTTCGAATCGAGAACAATCCTGACTTTTTCGCACTTCAAACCCGACGATGCTCTAGGTGGTGGCTAGATCATCGCAATGCTGAGAATTTGCTCCGCCTCAACCTCATCGAACACACTGATAACTAATTCTTCATTCCACCCTTTCGTAACCGGGTCTTTCAAGTCAGTCACTTTACCAATAACCGAGTTGTGTGAGGATGCAACTCGACAAGGCACTCTATTTAGAAGCTAAAAGTCATTCACTTGCCATCTCATACCCATTTGCAGAAGAGCCCTCGCACTCCAGTTACTTCATAGTTAAATTTTATCTTACACTACCAAGTATATGAACCTTATATTGTATCACATAATAATGCATATATTTTTCTTTGCCCGGATATGGGATATCACCAAGAGATCGGCTATAATTTTTTTTAATTAAAAAAAGTATTTTTCCAGAATTAAAGAAAAATGAAATATGATAAATACGTCCACGTGTTGACAGATACAGCGGGTAGCAATCAAATCGACCACAAAAGTTACCAAGCAAATTTGAAAAAAAAACCCCGCCAATCCGTTAGCAGCTACAAATATCATTCAGGAGAAACTCAGTTGAAACGAAAAACGCTGATCGCGAACGAAAATGCAGTGGAGAAGCAATCGAAGGTCGCCATTGCCAATGGCATCTCCTGCTCCGGAGGAAAACCAGTCTCCTCCCAAATCAACCATTTTCAACAAGAGGAAGAGGAATATAGCTAAGTCCTCCCATTCCAATTCAGCTTCCGCTTTCTTCAATCTTCAGTCCTCACCTCCTAACAACAAAACCCTAACCACCATCTCCGATCTTAAGGAATTCGCATCTTCTCGGTTGGAGGATATGAAGCGGAACCTCATCGATCGCTCTCACTCTGAGATTCTCAAGGATCTCGACGCCTCTCACTCTCGCCTCCACAAGCGCTTCAAGGTCTCTCTCTGTCCCTCCGTTTCCAGCTTGTTCCGTTTGATTATTTACATGAAATAAGGAACTGAATTTAAAAGCGGTTAGAACTTACTAGTATACTTTTATTGTTTTCTAATTCGACAGATCCAGACACAAGCATGCCAACAAGTAATGGAGGAAGCTGAAAAGAATACAAGAAGATATCGGAAAAGATTGATAGCAGCCATGAAGCAATGAAAGTAAATATTTCGATTCTTGATTATTTTCTTTCCAGTTCCTATGCTGTTATCTAATTTCTTTTTCATTTTGTTTAATTTCAGGCCTCATATGCAGAATTCATGGCAGATGCTCAAGCCACTGCATCTCGTGGTATTGTCGAGCTACTTCTTTTCATTGCTAGTTATCAACACTGACTTTCATTATTATTGCCATGTTTTACATTCTTTTCGCTTAGTTGAGTGGGCTGGTTAGTTGAAATTTAATATGACCCTAACAAAGAGTTACGAAAGATAATTTGGAAACTAATTTTGATTAGGTTGTTCATAAACCTTTGGATCATTCATCTGGTTTTACTTATCAAAACCATTTCCAATCATCTTAACCTTTGAATTGTGAAATTCCATCATCTTATTGTCCGTTCTATTGATATCAGTTTGCAAAACTTCCATTTCTGAGCTTTCAAAGTCATTTGAGAAAGGGATTGATGATCTCCGCAACCGATTTGGGACGCCATCCGCTTAGAATTGATTCCGAAACCGGAAGACACTTCCTCTGGATCTTCTTTTCCGGTACTCTCATCGTTGGCGTTGTTCTCCCTTTTCACTTTTTTTCTTTTTTAGTATAATGATCGGTGTCCGATCTATTAATCAACTGATCCTATATTGATAAGGCGACGTGTATGTGTGTATGTTTGCCATTGTCGTTGATGTTTTATAAGGTATGCAACGCTGATTTTTCAGGAATTGATGAAAAGCAATTTGGCTTAGGCAGGTCTTGCATAATTGGAAGGGCAATGGAATTTTCCTGTTGGGTAAATGGTGTAGCGTAGTATTTTTTTTTCGTGATATCTAGTTGTTACTATTCTGGAACATGTGGGTTTTGTTAGCTCAAACAGGAGGACAAAAATGGATTCCTTAGTTGTTCAAATTGTTCATATCAAGTAGCTCTTGACGAGTTTGTATGGATTCTACAAACAATTCTAGGTCGACAACTTGAACTCTTGATCAGCAATCATTATCATCTTACACAGGTCAGACATACATCAATGAAATACTCCGTTTATACCTGCATATCTTCTACTAAGATGGTTTGGTTTATGCCAAGTTGTTCATCTGTTTTTCCCTTATATTCTCTTAGATCTTGGGTTTTAAACTTATTAGAAAGGTTTCCCTTTCTTCCATAGAGTTTTTGTTTCCCTTCCCTTCTAAGGAAGATTAAGATTACATTTTAGAATTTATCAAAAAAAATCAAATTTATTTATTTGAAATTAAATAATTATAACTTTTATACATTAATATGAAATATTATATTTAAAATTTTAATTTA